GGATACTATAAACACACATGTATCACTCTACTTTCCCACGACAACTGTTGACGAAAACGGGTAAAGAAAACGAAAGAACACGAGAATTTTACGAGGTTCGGCAATGTGCTTACGTCCTCGGTGCCTAGGCGGCGCTAGAAGTTTTATTCAATGATATTTTAGGTCTAGGTTACATCTCTATTTATAATAGAAAACCCTGGTACATAATTACAAAATCAACCCTGTACCGTACCGTGGGGGCTGCGCCCCCACACCCCCAACCCACATAATTCGTAACCCCACAACGAGACTTTTTATGAGCCATACATAACAAATCTCCACCTTGGCGAATATCCTGCCCCTTGGAAACTTCAATGTGGGTTGGGTTACCTTGCTTCTTTAACAACTCGAAACATTCAACAAGTCCAAGCAATGCTTGAACTTGTCTGTCGTAACTGGCTTGGTGAACATATCAGCGGCATTCTCATCAGTATGTACCTTCTGAAACAAAACCTCTCCAGATGCAACCAACTCTCTGATCTTGTGGAACCTTACATCAATATGTTTAGTTCTAGCACGATACACCTGATTCTTAGCCAAGTGAATAGCACTTTGATTATCACAAAGCAACTGAACTCCACCTTGTTGAACACCCAACTCCTTCACTAAACCAGTAAGCCATAAAGCTTCTTTTGCAGCTTCAGCCGCTGCCATGTATTTAGCTTCAGTTGTAGATAGTGCCACGACAGATTGAACAATAGACTTCCAGCAAATAGGCCCTCCACCAAGAGTAAACACATACCCTGTCGTAGATCTTCTATTATCCAAGTCACCTGCATAATCTGAATCCACATATCCTACAACCAAAGGATTATCCCGCTGACTCCCAAAAACAATTCCATGTCCCACAGTACCCTTTAAGTACCGAAAGATCCACTTGACTGCATCCCAATGTTGCTTACCAGGTTTAGACATGTACTTACAAACTTGACTAACAGCATGAGCTAAATCAGGACGAGTACATACCATCGCATACATCAAGCAGCCAACAGCATTAGAATACGGAACCTTTGCCATATTTTCAGCTTCCTTATCTGTCTTAGGGCACTGTTCTGATGAGAGCTTAAAGTGATTCGCCAATGGAGTGCTAACTGGTTTCGCGCTGCTCATCGCAAACCTTTCTAGCATTTTCTCAACATAACCCCGTTGAGATAGCCGCAGTTTCCTTGAGTCTCTGTCCCTGCAAATTTCAATTCCAAGAATTTTCTTTGCAGCACCTAAATCTTTCATATCAAATTCCTGACTCAATAAAGTTTTCAAACCGATAACATCATCCATGTTCTTCGCAGCAATCAACATATCATCAACATACAGTAATAGAAAAATAAAAGAACCATCATCAAGGCTCTTAACATAGACACAACAATCATACTCACATCGGTTGTAGCCAATCTTGATCATATAGGAGTCAAACCGTTTATACCACTGTCTCGGAGACTGTTTTAACCCGTACAAAGATTTCTTCAATCTGCAAACTAAATGCTCGTTTCCAGGTTGAGTGAAACCTTCAGGTTGCCGCATGTAGATCTGCTCCTCTAAATCACCATGCAAAAAAGCAGTTTTAACATCCATCTGCTCTAAATGCAAATCCCAACTAGCCACCAATGCAAGTACTGCTCGGATTGAAGTGTGCCTGACCACAGGAGAAAAGATTTCATCATAATCAACTCCTTTCTGCTGTGAAAAACCCTTCGCTACCAAACGAGCCTTGAACTTCTCCCCCTCTTTTTCTGTTACTGCTGGTTTCTTCTTATACACCCATTTGCAACCAATCGGCTTCTTACCCTCAGGAAGGGGAACTAACTCCCATGTACGATTGTGATTCAAAGACTCCATCTCCTCAACCATGGCTGCCATCCACTTGTCGTTTTCCTGACTAGTAACGGCATCATGAAAAGTAACTGGATCATCACTGCTAACAGTAAGTGCAAAAGATACCAAGTCTTCAAAACCCAATCTGTTCGGAGGCTTTATATTCGTCCGTCTCACCCTGTCTCTGGCGAGACTATAATCCTGCAAATCATCCGTAGTGGAACCACCAGAAGTCGGTTGAGAAGTTTCTGGTTTCTCAACTGGAAACTGCTCGAAATCTACCACTGTCGTGTCTTGCTTCTGCTGCAACATAGACTGTTCATCAAAAACGACATCTCTACTAATCACAACTTTCTTCGCAACTGGATCCCAGAACTTGAATCCTTTGACACCTTTCTTGTAACCCAGAAAAATGCACTCCTTCGATTTTGCATCAAGTTTGGATCTCTCATCAGCAGGTACATGCACATAAGCAGGACAACCAAAAATCCGTAAGTTATCAAAACTAACATCATGACCAGTCCATACCTCTTCTGCAACTTTACCAGCCAGCGATGCCCTTGGCGATCTGTTGATAAGGTAACACGCCATGTTAACAGCCTCAGCCCAGAAGTGTTTGGGAAGCCCCGCATTCAACCGCAAACATCTGGCTCTTTCATTCAACGACCTGTTCATTCGTTCCGCAACACCATTCTGTTGTGGTGTCTTGCGTACTGTAAAATGCCTCTGAATCCCATGCTCCTTACAGAATTGTAGGAACTGTGAATCTGTGTACTCCGTACCATTGTCAGACCGCAAACACTTGATTTTTCGTCCTGTTTGGTTTTCTACCTCAGCTTTCCACAGCTTGAACTTCTCAAAAACTTCAGATTTCTGTTTCAAAAAATACACCCAAACTTTCCGTGAAAAATCATCAATAAAAGTAACATAGTACCTAGATCCACCCAAAGACGATGTCGTGGAAGGCCCCCATACATCAGAATGCACATAATCAAGAATCCCTTGAGTTGTGTGCTTCGCAGTCTTGAAACGGACTTTAGTCTGTTTACCAAGAACACAATACTTGCAAAAATCGAGCTTACAGCTTTTGACACCATGCAACAAGTTTCTCTTGTGTAATTCTGCCATACCACGTTCACTAAGATGAGCAAGGCGCATATGCCACAATTTTGTCGTATCATCACAGGACTCAACAGAGTGAACTCCACCTGCAACGGTACTCCCTAACAATCTGTAGATATTCCCTGCAGTCATCTTGCCTTTCATCACAGTCAATGCTCCTTTAACAATCCGAATGGTTTCCCTATCCTCGTCAGCCTTAGGGATAAAACCATTCTTGTGCAAAGTGCCCAAGGAAATCAAATTCTTCTTCAAGTCTGGGATATGTCGAACACCACTCAACGTCCGAACGGAGCCATCGTGCATCTTAATTCTGACATCACCAATACCAACAATATTGCAACATCGATCATCACCCAAATAAACCGAACCAGAATTAACCGGCCTGTATGTCGAAAACCATTCCCTATTTGGCGTGATGTGATAAGAACATCCAGAATCAAGAATCCAAGCATCCGTCAATTGTGTCGTTGAAATAGAAAGCATATCACCCTCACTGCAATCAGAAGTATCATCCTCGACCACGTTCACAGACTTGGATGAGCCATCACGCTTCTCATCGGTCTGCTTTTTCAACTTCGGACAGTCTCGCTTCATATGTCCCGCCTCCTTGCACTTGTAACAGTGAATCGTCTTCTTATCCCTGGATTTGGATCTGGAATTCCGCTTCCCGGACCCTGCCTTCTCTGGCTTCCGTCCACGATCTCGATTACCCTTGACATATAAGCTATCGGCTTGAGAGCTTTCCCCTGCATTCTGCTTCCGCTGGTTGTGAGCCAACAAGGCTGCAGTAATCTCCTCAACGTTGATAGTCTCTTTCCCATATGTAAGAGTAGTCACCATGTGTTCGTAAGAGGAAGGCAACGAACACAACAGAATCATCGCTCTGTCTTCATCCTCAATTTTCACATCAAGCCGAGCCAGATCAGAAACGATTTGATTGAAGACATTCACGTGTTGCGCCAAATCGTGATCGTCCTGCATCTTCAGCCCATACAACCGCTGCTTCAGATACAGTTTTGTCGTTAAGGATTTGGACATAAACTGACTTTCCAACTTCCTCCAAATTTCGTCTGGAGACGATAGATGCATGACGTGATACATGACCTCGTCCGCCAAGCATAATCGTATGGTTCCTGCCGCTCGCTGCTGCAATTCTTCCCAATCTTCCTCATCCATCGACGCCGGCTTTGTAGGTCGCAAAGCCTTCAAGATCCCTTGCTGCGCCAATAGATCCTTCACCCTCGTTTGCCATAATCCGAAGTTACCCTGACCATCGAATTTCGCGACTTCGAATTTTGCTCCTGACATCTGATACCAATTGTTGACGAAAACGGGTAAAGAAAACGAAAGAACACGAGAATTTTACGAGGTTCGGCAATGTGCTTACGTCCTCGGTGCCTAGGCGGCGCTAGAAGTTTTATTCAATGATATTTTAGGTCTAGGTTACATCTCTATTTATAATAGAAAACCCTGGTACATAATTACAAAATCAACCCTGTACCGTACCGTGGGGGCTGCGCCCCCACACCCCCAACCCACATAATTCGTAACCCCACAACGAGACTTTTTATGAGCCATACATAACAACAACTATCATATATGATAAATAATATTGTTTTTTTCCCTTCTAGTTCCAAAGTTTCCTTCTAATTAATTTGGACAGACTTGGGTCACATATTTAGTTTTAGTGGGTGAATTTCTCAACGGAGATTTTCTACATACACAAGGACTCGAACATAAGACCTTACTTAAGTGATATCAAGTTGTTTACCATTTAAACTAACATGTTGATATAAATAATATTGTTTAGATTCATATATATATATATATATATATATAATGATGCATAATTTGTGGACCATTGACACTGATGCTATTAATTAGTATGAATTATATGTTATTTTTATTGATTAAATCTACCTTTTGTTGATAGTTTTAATCTCCCACAAAAAATCGTTATTTATAATAGACAAATTTTATTATATATATATATATATTTAAAAATAAGTTAATATATAAATTCAAAATATTAAAATTACTCATCGCCACATTTATTCAAGCACACAAGGTAATAATATGTTTCATTTTTAAGGAGGAATGCTTAATTAGTTGCCGCGGCCGCGGCCTCGTCCTGACCCAGCCTCCGAGCCAGCAGATGAACCAGCTTCGGAACCTGCACCAGACCCGGCATAGGAACCGGCAGATGAACCAGCTCGAGAGCCGGCACCACCGTACCCACCGGAAGAACTGGATGAAGAGGATGAGCTTGACGAAGAGCTTGAACTTGAACCCCCCGAACCAGCCCCGGCTCCGGCTCCTGATCCCGAACCGCTACCACCTCCCAAACCAACGCCTATCCCAGCTCCAACTCCAAGTCCTAGGCCTCCTATGGAAGAAGCATTAAGAAGGTTATATATGGAAAAATTATTTTCATCGATGGTAACCAACATATTTATACACAACAGAGATTATTACTGTATAATCCTATTACCTCCAAGGTCCAGTCCAAGATCTTTTCTCGCAACACGACCTTCAGACACAACTGCTGACACGACAACGAGTAGAGCAATCATAAGGGCTCTATGCCTGAAAGAAGACATCTTCAATGAAGAAGAAACAAAGTGAAGAAGCCTTGGGATTTAAAGGAATATGAGGTTCAAGAATGAGTAGGGATGATTATGGGACTTTATAGAGACCAAGTTAAAGCTATTTATAGCTGTTGAGCATTGCAATGCTAGTGTGAATAAGGATGGGGTTTAAGCAGCGCACATGATTAAAGAAGGAATTTATTTGTTTAAACAATTTGAAGTGGAAATCATGATGGGGGCTTTCTCCAAGATTTTGTTCGAAGCAACCTTGTGGCTAAGAAAGCTGCCAAATTCCATGGGTGTACCATAACTGTCTAAAAGTTGCCGACCCATTATCACTAGTGGATCGTCGAGATCTATTAATTAGTCGAATGATTAAGAATATTTATAATATCTTACCTCGTATGAGTTCAAATCTTAATATTTTTCTTAGAAATTATTGAGAGTTTAAAACTCATTAAAAAGCTAGTGTTCATCGCTATTAAGATGGCCAGAAACACTATCAGTGGATGCATGATGTTTCTTAGTATTAATTGTGTTAGGATTCGGATATTTTTCATGTTAAAAACGTTTCAATTTCGAGTCAAATCAATTTTTTTAAATTCGGAATCAAATTTATTTTAATCGAATTTTTCGGTTTGGAAACATATGTATGTTTTACCAGGTGAATTGTTGTTAGAGATCTTGAACATCAAAGTACACACATTGTTACACGTAATATGTATAAATAAATGGTAAATTTTCAAGGTAAACAGATTCTTTAACTTTTCCCTAATATGTCTGCAACTATATCCGTGCGATAAGTGGCTTTAAGATAAAGACTTGGTAAAAACATGAGAGTATATATCCCCTACAAAATGTTACTGTATTACAAAACCATACCATTTGGCCTGTCTTGATGCTAATATATAGGTTTTTTTACATGCAATATTCCGGGTTGGGGGGGGGGGGGACTTATTGCAAGGATCTTGTTCTTCATTGATAGTATGGCAGATGATAAAGCTGAAGCTAGTACACAAGAAGTAGTAGAAGTGCCAATAGTTGAAGAAAGCCCTGCTGATGCTGTGGTGGTTCTCAAGAACGAACCCAAACCGACTGAATGCCCGAATAAAAACATTATTCCGGGGAAATTCTTTCAAGTGAAACGCATATCGGGTTTGTTATCGGTCGTTTCGTTTGTTTTCTCGCTTCCTGTCCTTTCGTCCGTCATCTGGCTGCTGTACATGAAGAGCTACGATTGCGAATCGTTGTTCAAGTTGCCTAAGTTGCAGATCGGGATCAGCATCGGCTTGATCTGTGTGTTCTTCGTCTGCAATGCCGCTCTCTGCTTGAAAAATCGGTTAAAGATGGTGGGGATCGTGTTGGTTATGGTGCCCTTGACGGCGATGTTCACCATCGACCTCGCGTTCCTCGGGGCTGACAGCATGGAAAACAGGAGGATTCCGGCTACACCGTTGTGGTTTGAGATGAAAACTCATGACGACAAACTTTGGAGCAACATCAAAGGGTAATTTACAACACCGGCATTTGCCATGATTTAGCGTTTTCGTCAACGGAGCTCAAATCGTATGATTTCAGAATGAAGAAATTATCATCAGTAGAGGTATCCATCATCATTCTACGTACCATAATAACGACTCTCGATACTAATCAAGTTAGTTGACATCTCTTTGCTTTGTGCCATTTTAGTCCGGATGTTGCAGACCACCTGCAGAGTGCGAGTTGCAGCAAGTGAATGCAACCTCTTGGGCAAAGAAAGATAAAACCGAAACCGATCCTGATTGTGATGTATGGAAGAACTCAATTGACGGCTTATGTTACGATTGCTTAGCCTGTCGACAAGGTTACATGAAAGCTTTGCAGAGCAAATGGTTGAAACTCGGAGTGTTTCTTGTTTGCATGTCTTTGCTACTTATCAGTTCCCATTTGTCTCTATTTCTGGTAACAATGTGGGAGATCCATATATCTTAGAGCAAAGCTGAAGGGCTCATACATTTTCCATTTTCTAGTACCTTTTTCTCTCTCTTTCATGTTTAGGATTTCATTTGGTTTAAATTTGTCTTGATTTCTAGCTGCCTACACTCCTAATAATGTTATGTTGTAGCCATCATTTCTTGTACAAAGCTGCCCCATTTTGCTTAACCAACTTATAAAAATTGTTACAAGAATTTACTTCTCAAAAACTTTGTCATCCATCTCGACAAGATTAATCTTTTATTAGACCGTTAAAACGGATAATAATACTGACGTTTGCGAATTGAGTAAATTGGGTTGGGAGAGTCGCACTTATAATAGACTTTTTCGAAACTTGATCTGAAATAGTTGATCAATATATCAAATACCGGTAATTAAATAAAAAAACACTTGACCAACAAATGGTCAAGAAGAGATGGTAAGATATCCTAGCAAGATCAACTTTGCAATATACAAAGGAGCAAAAGTTGGAGAATAACTCATTAACAAGGCACTCAAATTAATAATAATGATAATAATACTATGCATGTCCTCTTCTGCTTACTTCTTACACAAGGGTAGAGCTTACACATTTTATAGTGCAATGGTTACAAGACCCTAATTTGAGGGTAAAATGGAATGACCATATCGGATCTGCAGTGCTTTATCAACTGCTGACAACAATTTAAGAGCATAAAGCTAACAATCTAACCTAATTGATTCCCTGCCTCCGATACTGGGTCAACGCAAGATTGAATATGGACATCAAACGTATTACGCAACAGCTTTGAAGGCAACTTCTCCATGTTTACCTCTGAGAAAAAGATGGATCATAGGTTGCTCCCCATGCCGAGCTAGGGGCAGCTTGACCTCCAGTTGCAGCAATAGCAGCCGGAACATTGGTATTACTACCATATGGGATCATGCCCTCCACTACGCCAGGACCCATCTGCATTGCAGGCAGACCGTAGCCATCAAAATAGGTGGTGCTACCTTGAAAGGGTTGTACATATGAAGGATCAGGATTCATGTAACCACCTGCATATGGTGCCACTCCTATTGATGCTACACAACACAACATCAGTGCAAGTGTTAGAAAAGAGAAAAAATAAAACCAAAGTGCCATGTAGCATCTATGCAGGAAAGGAAAGTTACCAGGCACAGTCTTCTCAGCACTCGAGACTTCAGCTTGTAACCTTTTAACTTCTTTTGCCATCCCGATTAGGTTCTTCTCCATAGCTTGCATTTGCTCCACCTGCTCTATGTTTGACCTTTTTTCATATTGAAATGTAACGCTGCGTGTAAAAGAGATCAAAATATAATCAGAGCCAACTTCTAAGGAACATTCAAATGAACAATAGAGAAAATAAATCATATTCACAAGAAATGGGTTCCATCACGAATTTGAATAATCAAATGCAGAGCTTAGTCATGTGGTATTATTTTATAATGAACACCATTAGATTAATGATGACACATTTGACCACAATAGCAGTAAATATTGCAACAACAAAAAATTAAGTCATGAAAACTTATGAAGGATTTAAGACACCAAGCGACAAAATAACTTGTTTGACTCACCGTAATCTCTGGTACTCTTTCCTCAAACCTTCAAGTTCAGCCTGTAACTTTGGAAGACACTTAACATCATCCCGAGTTTTCTCCAACTCCTGAGAGGATTGTTGAATTTGGATGATTAACTCTTGTCTGGCTTTGACTAAACTTTGTGCCTCAGTGAGTGCCTGTTGCAACTCCATTTTAACATTCTCACCAACCCTAATATCTGTTTCCATTTTTGCAATCTTTTCCTTTAGAACCCTGATCTGAATATCACTCTCATTCTGTACACTTCTGATGTGTTCCTTGAGTTTCTGCGCTTCATGCCGTGCAGCCACAAGGTCCTCCTTCAAGGCGACATGGCGAGCTGTCAATATCTGATTGTCTCCAGCAAGTTGCTCAAGTTCTGCTGCCTGAGAAGCAATCTTGTTCTCTAAAAGCTCAGGTCGAGGAAGTGGTTCCAAAGCTCCACGAGAAGGAGGACCTGAGCCAGCAAGTGAACCATGTCGTATTGCACCTGGAGCCTGGATGGAACGTCCCTCATATGCTGATCGGATTTTTCTAGAACCCATCTGTCCAAGAATCCACTAAGACTATGTCACACGTAAATAGTAAAACCTCAGTCACAGGAATGAAGACCACGTATATGATAATCTAGAATACCCTGCTACAACAACAAATTTTTGAAGCATTAACTATCAAGTACCCCAAAATGCAACCAAATTGTATATAGAGAAGCCCTGATGCAGGTTGCAGAAGGAAGAATATCGTTCAAACTACCCAATGAAAGAAAAACTACAACAAAATTGTATTCTTTTTTTCCTTTTTTTGTCTTCTCTAACTTTTATTGGATGAATTTAACTCAATAATACATCTAGCAAAAACAATATAATTAAGCTCTGTTCATCAGATTAATTCAAATATAGAACAATTTTGTTTAGAAAAATAACACAAAGCATCATTAAAACAGAAATAAACTATGGTTCTTACCAGGTGGAGTCATATACATGCATCAATAATATCAACTTGATTTCTCTAATTACTGCAATTTTTCAAAAACTACCCTTTTCTACTATATCATACGTGGATTGATTAGTGGCTGCAATATTCTAGTAAAATGAAAAACTAAATCTGGTTGTAACAATTGAAGGCAAAGGGGTAAATTACAAAACCACCTCAGAATATAGAAAACTTACCATTAACACCTCAAATCTTAGGAGTAACAACATGAAACATACATTGACCTATTACTTTTCTACACACATTTTTAAGACCAATAACAATTTATTGGAGATATGAGGAAAATCATTTGAAAATGACCTTAAAGAGGATTTTATCATGTGACTAACAGTGAAAATAAACACAACTACAAATGACAGGCACAAATATCAAAAGCAGCATAAGATCATAAAGTTAGATTTCTTCTGAAAATAAGACTATTGGATATATCTAATATGAAGTAATAACAATTGCTGGAGAAAAACTATGGAAAATGCTCAAATTTTCTGTCTCAATTGTCAAAATATATCATACAAAGAAAGAAATTTTTATGGCATCCTACACCATCA